CTAAACCCTGGGTAAACCCTAAACCCTAAACCGTGCAAACCCTAAACCCTGGGAGTCCTTATGACCAAGACGCTGTGAAGAATGGTCCGGCCTTGGAACGTGACAAACATCTTACCGAGCCGGTGGAGGCGATAGAGGCGCATAGGCAGCTCCTCACTTCTTCCATAACCGGGCCGAAGAAAATTTTAAACTTTCTGAGATGATAGACAACATAACACCGAAAAGTATATATATATCCCTAAACAATAAACCCTTAACGCCAAAAAGGTATATCCCATTGACGATCTAAGGCTCGGGAGCATCCATGACCAGCTGATTCCCCCCGCGCCGCCGAAAGGCCTCCGCCAGCAGTGACATCACGTGCACACCGAACTGCTCCAAGCCAACGGCCTTAAGGGTTGAGTTCGGGGCTTCGGGGGTGTACGGCGGCCTTACGGTTTATAGGGGTTTAGGGAAGTTTAGGGGTTTGAGGATTTAGGATTAAGAGGATTTGAGGATTCAAAGGTTTAGAGTTCAGGGTTTAGGGTTTGGGGTTCGGGGTTTAGGGTCTGTGGGCAGCCTTGTCGACCTCCTCCATGATCATGCAACGGTCCTGTTCCTGGCTAGCCTTCGCCTGGGCTCTGCCAAAGGAACTAAACTTAAGTGACCACAATAAGGAAACCCAGATCTTTGCCATAAAATCCTTCTTATGGCACCTCATATTAAACTCCTAAACCCCAAACCCTCTCGTGTACTGTAGATCCCCGTATGGTAGCTTAAGTTAACTTCCCTAGACTCTATACAGTTATAGTATCCTTTACCCTAAACCCCTAAACCCTAAAACCCTAAAGCCCTAAACCCCAACCCCTAAAACCCAAAAACCTCGAAACCCCAAAAGCGACCCAGTCTCCGTAGTTGGGTCGATCTCCAGGACTCTCTTGGTGAGCCGAAGGAGATCCTCACCTCAGGATGCCCGGAAACCTTTGATTAAAGAGGGCCTCCCTTGTTTGGCTAGGGTTGAGGGTTTAGGGTTTTAGGGTTTAGGGTTTAGGAGTTTTAGGGTTTAGGGTTTGGGGTTTAGGGGCACCTTTGTAAGGAACCTTAGACTTTGGGGTTTAGGGCTTAGGGTGTATGGTTTATAGGGCTTAGGCTTTAGGGTTTTAGGGGTTTAGGGGCACCTTTATAAGGAACCTTAGACTTTGGGGTTTTAGGGTTTAGGGTGTAGGGCTTATAGGGTTTAGGCCGGGTTGAGGGTTTAGGGTTTTAGGGGCACCTTTATAAGGAACCTTAGACTTTTTTACAAAAAAAAGGGAAAAAGGGCCCAACCGGGAGACCGAGCCACGCTGCTCGCCGAAAGGCTCATCACTGCCGAGGGTGAGGACCCCGTTTTCCTCTCTTCTTCAAGATAGGGTTTAGGGTTTAGGGTTTAGGGGTTTTAGGGTTTAGGGTGTAGTTTAGGGTTTAGGGGTTTTAGGGTTTAGGGTGTAAGGGTGTAGGGGTTTTGGGGTTTAGGGTTTAGGAGTTTTAGGGTTTATAGGGTTTAGGGGTTTTAGGGTTGAGGGCTTAGGGGTTTTAGGTTTTAGGGTTTAGGGCGGGCCCAAGGAAGCGCGGCTTTTCGAAGCCAGTCAAATATATGCATATACACTAGATACTCTCTCTCTCTCTCTCTATCTGTATATAGATATATGTGTACAAGATGGCCCAAAAGCCTATATTTATATCAACTTGAAGTTCTCCCATTGGCAATCTAAGTTTCGGTAGCGATGTGGAACTCCTTCTTCAAAGCGTGTGCACGGAGCACTTCATAGAGGCACCAGATGCGCTGGAGCGGTGTGGCCAAGGGGTCCATGATCATTACCTGTAGTCTCCATTGTACTTCCTTTTTGGGGTTACCTTGTAGGATCCTCTTAATATAGAATGGGTTAAACCAAAAAAAGGAACTACAATGGAGACTACAGGTACCACGTGGGTGCAAGAAGGGGCCGCGAGTGCCCGCTCGAAAGGACTCTCTTGCAAAGTCTCGCCCAAGTTCACCTCCCACTGCCGATTAGCAAAGGAGCAGACCCAAAAGGCGACCTCTTCTGTGGGCTCACAAACCGTCTCCCAGGTGTCATCTTCATCATCGCAGACGACTCGCTTGGTTTCTGACCTGTAGCTGCCAGCAAAGAGGTGAAGAGCTCTCACGAAGCAGACGAACTCTTCCCCCCACCAGTGGCTCACAAACACCTGGGGAGCCAGGGGCTCCAGAAGCTCTGCAAAAGCCACGCGGCGTGACTTGGTTAGAGGCTTGATGACCTCCTCTACCACGTCATACATGCTGGGCCGGCAGGCGCTATTGCTATGAGGGTTCCATTTGGCCGTGGTGAGCCTCAGTTGCCGAGATCATCAGCCGGGAAAACTGTTTAACCTTCGAGTCTCATGGAGGTTTACCGCCTACTATCCCCCAAAACTTAGTCTACTCATTTTATATATTTGCGAACAATATCAATATATATCTATACATATATAATTAGAGATATATAAAGACCCCAAAAAAGCTAAAGCCTACTCATTCAGCTGCTGCGCCATATCTTGTGTTCTGCCAGGAGCCGAGTGAACTCTCGCAGAGGCACTCCCGACTCTTCCGGGGCTCTCGCAGGACCCGGGCCAAGTGCCTCTCTTTTTCAATGTAGGGTTTAGGGTTTAGGGTGTAGGGGAGAAGGTTTAAGGGTTTAAGGGCTTAGGGTTCAAGGCCCGAAATCAAGGTTTACTATTAGACTTTTTGAGGCAAAAATGTTCAAAGTTCTCCCAACCCTGCACCCCTAAACCCCTAAACCCCAAACCCCTAAACCCTAACCCCTAAACCCCTAAACCCTGCATCCCGTAACCCGAACATCTCGACCCCTAAACCCTAAATGGCCATTTAAGGTGCTTCGAAGAGCCAACGCACGAAAGGCACCAACTTCAGATCTCCAGGAAAAGCCTCCAAAGCAGTGGGTTTAGGGTTACAGGGTTTAGGGTTTAAGGCTTTGGGTTACAGGGTTTAGGGTTTAGGGCTTTGGGTTTCAGGGTTTAGGGTTTAGCATGTAGGGTTTAGGGCTTAGGGTTTACGGTTACAGGGTTTAGGGTTGCGGCTTATAAGGTTTATCGGGCCAGGCTTGACGGTTTTATAGGGTTCGGGGCTATAAGGCTTACAGGTTTAGGATTGTTGAGCATCGGCCTCACAAAGCAGTGATGCTTCCAGGTTCGACATCGAAAGCCCCTGCAGGAGGACATGGAGACCCGAAGCGTCCTTTTGGTGTTATAAGATTTAGGGTTTAGGCCTTTAGGGTATAGGCGTTTAGGTTGCCAGGATTTGGGGGTTTAGGCTTTAGGCTTCAGAATTTTTAGGGGTTAGGGCTTAGGGTTTAAGGTGTTTAGAGGTTTCAGGGGCTTAAACCCCCTAAACTCTACAGCCAACTCGTCCTTGAAGTCCCCATGCTTGGCAGTCCAGGCTTCGCAGTGGGCGATGACGGCATCCGACATGGCACTGAAAGCAACACTCCCTCGCAGGTCTTGGGCCAAGACAACTCGGAGAAGGATGCAAGCCCTAAACCCTGAACCCTAAACGGTGTAGCGTGTGGGGAAACCGTGAAGCCTGAACCCTACACCCTGAAGGCTAAGCCCTCAACCCTGAGCCTTGAACCCGAAACCCGAAATCCAAAACTCTTAGGCAAGAGCCGGAAAAGGGAGTTCGAGATTCCTGTCCAGGCACACATGCCGGCAAAGGCAGCTGCAAGATCAAAAGATGTCAAGAGACGTTTCGCATCAAATGAGGGCCCCAACCCTTGACCTCCCCTGAACCTATTCTGTCTGGTTCTCAGTATGGGACTACTTTAGGGCACCTTAAGGCACTATCATAGGGATCCATTCCCGCATTCCCTACTAAGAACCAGGGAGCTATTGAACCTACCTGTAGTCTCCATTGTAGTTCCTTTTTTTGGTTTAACCAATTCTATATTAAGGATCCTAAAAGGTAACCCCCAAAAAAGGAACTAGAATGGAGACTTTAGCTATTGAGGCAAAGCTGCGATGATGCAATCAAAAATATTCCAACCACGGTCTCGCCCGCAGAAGAAGGCTTTGCATCCGAAGGCCATGAGCTTCAGAAGGATCTCCTGACGGCCATTAGAGTTTAGGGTTTAGGGTTTTGGGTTTAAGGCTTAGGGTTTAGGGTTTAGGGTTTGAGGGTTTAGGGAGCACCACAGGAGAACAAACTTTGGCCCGAACGGAATCCTTTTTTACTACCTTGTGTGCCGATGTATACACTACGTCCCTAAGGGTCCACAGGACCGAATTATGAGGTACTTGGGTTACGGAGGTGATTTTGTAAGTTACTATTCGGGAGAAATTATTATTATCTAGGTTCCTCAGTAGCACCATAACACTAAGGGCACCCTTTTTCCTACTATTGGGTTCTTGTTAAGGGATTTTGGTTAATTTAGAATAATGGGGATCCATAGTACATAATACGGTTTCTTTACTTGGCAATTTGAAGTAAATCCCCTGACAAGAACCCAGTATTAGGTACTTGGACCGTATGTTGGAACCTTCGGGGGAGTTTGGTTTTGACATCCACCAGCTAGCAGTAGGGTTCATGAAGACATTACCTTCTTCCGGATTACAAGAAACGTACGCATAGATGTGTGTATATATATATATGCGCACACGTGTACCATTACACAAAGGGTCATTTATATATATATATATACATATATATATATGTATCTCTCTCTCTCTCTCTCCGTCTCCATGTTACATATATACTTATACATATGTATGTATATATATATATATAGAGAGAGAGACATACTTACATAATTCTGTATGTATGTATATGAAAATGTCTTGGCTTCCGAGGTTTAAGGGCAGGAGGCAGTTTGATTTCCTGGCTGCCCACAAAACTACAGCAGAAGCCGCAGCTGTCCAGCACGAAGCAGCAAACGATGGAGTTGTTGATGATGAAGAAATAGTCCTGCAAGGAGACAGGTGGCTTCGCATTTAGGGGTTTAGGGGGTTTTTAGGCCTTAAGGCTTAAGGCTAACCCAACCTAGGCTCTACGTCCTCTTGCTCAGGAGACTCACTCCTGACAGCTCACTGGGGATCAAGAAAGGCTGCCCGCCGGGTGTTTCTGAGATGGCCGCATATTGCTAGCCCATCCTGGAGCCTGGACCACGACCGCTACTTCACACGCTGCCACTTTGAGGGTTTAGGGCTTGGGGTCGTAGGGTGTACGGTTTCGGTAAGGCTGTCGGTTGTTGAGATAATGTACAGTCACTATCTCATTCCCTCCTGCAAGTAGTCCCGGTGCTCTTTGTGTGTGTTTGTCTCCTTGCTCTTGCTCGAAGCCACCGCCTCTGTACCGCAGTCACATACCACAGGTTGACCACATGAACTCCAGTACCCTAAATCAGTGTTGTGCCCTTGCTTGAAGTCGTCTCAACCCTGGTTGCCCTACTGGAAATGCCATGTGAGTGGTTATCAAAACCTCTTTTCAATCCGTTGAGGCTATCAAACCCTTGCGCGTGTATGGTGCGCGCAGCTTCCGCGGAGCCAACTGTCCCTT